AATCCAGAACTACCATTTCTTGATTATTTGATGTCAAAAACACCCTAGTGCATAAGCACTCGCCCGATGAGACAATAAAAACAAAATTATTATCGACAAAAGGTCAAACTGAATGATAAGTAATCCAAAGAACGTCATTCATACCTCCATTCGACTCATATCTTTGGCAATTTGTTTATTTAAATTTTTTCAACTTACCTTGTTCAATGGCAGTGGGACCATAATCTTTGGGCCACATATCCTTTGGTGAAATTGCGCACTGCGCCGCTAATATCGTTTGAACTAACAAACCAAAGAGCTGATTTGCTGGACCCACACTCTGGGCAGCACATTCTGGATTCAAAACATCCATGTTCGCTTTTTATTCCAATTCGGTATTTGTGTGTTTTTTTTTCCTGCAATGAAATCAACCAGAAAAAAGTTCAACTTGAGAAAGAAATTGAGTTTCCAACACGCTATCGATATGCGCTTTAACCAATTTGAATTGCAGTATTTGCGTTATTACGTTTTACAACCTTTTAATGAGGAAAATCAATTAATTTCATCGAACGAATTTAGCATTCCCCCCACTCAAGCATTCCCCCCACTCGACTAACAAATGAATTGATCAACGCTAAATTAGCGCAAGATATATTTCAATAAAATTGCCGGTGAGAAATTATGAATTAACATCCACGTCAATCGGTGTATCAATGAGATATAGCGTCTATTAAACCGGAGTTTGAGAAATCGGATCAGACAGAAATCAATGCGCCAATATGATTATCGTCGTGTGCAAAGCTATTGAGATCAAAATGATTTCAATTGGAATCATTTAAACTGATTTATTGCCAAAGCGAAGCTATACCGGTTATTTGACGAAAATAACTCACTAAAAATCACATTGTTAGATCTTTCACAGCTATATCTCCACTGCACGAAATTAATGTCTAAAACAACACATTTGTAGAAAGTCCAAACAGAAAATCAGATGTAGAGAAAATCAGCAAAAATGCCTTGAAAATCAGATGAAATTGGTCGCGAATCAATAATTCCAATTGAATAAAAATCCAATCATCAAATTGTTTCTAAATTTTTGGTCAACTTTTTGTAACCATTTCAATCACTTTTTCAACTAAACGAATTTCAATATCAAATATTTCACTAGAGAGAACTTACTTTATTAAAAAAATGTCGAATTAATGAATTTGTCGAAATGGTTGCTACTGTAAAGACTGAATTCCAAATGAATGGCTAACGAAGAGCCTGTATTCGCTTAAATACAATTTCGTTTGCGGCGATAATTTTTTGTCGTATTGTTATCTTGTCTGTAAATAATAAAACAAAACGTTGTTGTTTGTACATTACTTATCTTTGGTTATCATCATCTAATATACAAGCACATTCAATGGGTCGATTGGTGTATGTGTGGAATGGAGTGAACTAAGTTGGTCTGCGTGCGTTTGGAACCTAACTGAAGAGCTGTCGCATTCACAGGAAAGAGATACAGACAATCGATAACAGTGCTTATAATTTTTTAATCTCGAAAATTGTGAAGTAGAATTGAAACAGCTCGAAATTGAATGTGTTATTAAGGTGAGACAAGAGACAAAGCCAACGGTGTTGTGTTCACACATCGCCAAAACTTATCTTATCGCAAATTATTTTCTCTGTTTTTCAACCTCTTTTATTCATGTGATTTTGTTATTGTCTTATTCCCTTTACAATTCATTATCACTAAAGTGGCGTATGTTATACTCTAGCCGCATTTCAATGATGCGAAAACGAATCTGAAGTACCACGTAGCCCGAGCCACTTTGTTTGCGTAATTAGTAAGTCAAACGCTGACTGGTACACGTATATCCATTGAATTAAAACATGTGATTTATATTGTCTGCAGAGAATGATCTTCTATTTTCCTTTCTTGTTATTGTTGCGCGCGCACGTTGAAGAAAAGTAACTTCATCATTTTGATAGAATCGCAGCTATTTTTCCAATATTTTCGTCGAGAGAGTTTCGATCTCTTCTTCCACATAGATCAATCCATTGTATCGCCTCTTGTTCACAATCAATGATTAATTTTTTTTTGTCGCATTTCTAATCAATTGTATTGTTCGATTATATTCGGCGAAATTTTGTTTGCAATAAAACTTTTACAGCTGTTGAAAAATAAGTACCTTTTTAGCGTCAAATGCACGTGCTCTATATTATATTGACTTGTGACAACACAACACTGAACAAAAAGACAAACAACACTTAAACCAAACCACTCGTTTACAATTGACAAAACAAACTGTGAAACATATGCGATATTCGATCGCTGGTCACACACCGATTCTCAATGCACCACGTCAATGAGAACGAACGATTGAACGACCGTCCGCAACACAAATCATGCGTTAAGATACACACACACACACAAATCGATACGTATACATATTCAGATCGATGTTGCGTGTACTTTTTACACAACATACACCATGCATACCGGCTACAATCTATTTCTCTTTGCTTCATAATTTCAACTTTTACAGCATAATTCAACCTACTAAAAAAAGAGTCACATCGAAATCATGATGTGTACATCCAAAATGAGTTTACTGTGCTGTGACTGCTACCAATCGAGATTCTCACTCTCTCGCAATCGCACACGAAAAACTCGTTTTGCTTACATTCTCGTTATGTTTTAAGCAATTCTTACAGATTTAGATTCGAAGTCAAACGGCCAATCGATTCACTTTTTTTCAGTGTACAGTTTTAGTTCTAAAATGCAAAACAAATTCAGTGATGTTGACTGAGCACAAGATTGTGCTTTTATTTTGTTCGTCTTTCAAACGCAAATTTCAGTCAAGGTATTTGCACAGCTTACTGCAGCTGCGGTGAAATATTATAGACAAGCAAATAGACGATACGGCTGCAGAGTTTGTTGAGCGAGTTTTTAAGCGCCTAAATGCAGACCGGCGCCCGCCCATTCGGTATTCATGAGGCTATATAAATACAGGCGAAATGATGGGATTTTGAATTCTGATGAATTTTAAGTAATTCTTTTAAATAGATACAGAAGTTGACAAGTTGAACTGTTTTTGAAGAAACGCAAACTTATTGCAGTTTTTGCGAAAATGTGTAGAAAAAAGTATCGAAAAATG